TATATATACATATATTGTAATGTCAAATTAAGATCTTACCCTTCCATAATAACTTGTACATTTGTCACTTGAATGTATTTCTGAATGTCATATTTTTCTTTCTCCTTTTTATCACTTAAAACCATTCCAGTATTACTGCTATAATTCTATTCTGAAGCTTATCGGTATTTCGTTTTTCTATCAAGCAGACGACTAACATACAAAAATAAACTACTGCTTTATGTATATATGTGTGTGTGTGTGTGTGTGTGTGTGTGTGTGTGTGTGTGTGTGTGTGTGTGTGTGTGTGTGTGTGTGTGTGTGTGTGTGTGTGTTTCAGACGGAAATATAGAAAACCATCTTGATCATATAGATAGATAGATGGATATACATGATACAACTTTCGGAAATTACAACTTTCGGCTGCAGACTAGACTTCAGACTAGACTCTTCATGTGGTGAATATTGTACTAGAAATGGTGTCGTTTCGCTGATATTAAGACGATGCTGGGAGAGTCATCTTATCCTTCCTTGTTGTGTTTTGTGGTAGATTTAAGCGATTAACGACGAAGCTTGGATATCTAATTTCAACGTACAATTTGTCCTAATTAGTGTATTGACGAAACCCTGCGCATCCGTGGGTTTGTTTTTACATTTCTGTTCCCTGTTAATATGCTCCTCTTCAACTCCGTTTTTTCTCTAATGCCGTAAATCTCCATTTGCGTTTTCCTGATAAAATCCCACACGTATATGCATGAAAAAAATATCCATCAAGTAGTATATATAATTTAATTTATATTTTATGTCTTCAAGTCAACTAAACAAATTTCCTTCGAAAACCTGTTTTGACTTTCTAATTCTATTTTCCTATGTTATTTCCTTTTCATCTGCCTCGATCAACATTGTTAATATCAGTACATAACACAGCACATAACTACCACATGGTATGTATTAAAACAAATAAATGGTATCCTTTAGCACAACAGATATATTGCAAGAATACCACTATGTTAAGAGCCACGAAACACCCGACTTTTCAGCTCAATTAACACAGAAATAAAACGATAAAAAAAAAACAAATGAAAATATCCCGCACCATAGAGCACACAACCGGGTGTATACATGGCAAACACCATTATTCTTTTTAGTATTTCCAGATGTTCAACACGTTTACATGAAAACAAGTGAAAGGAAATCGCAACCACGGCGGGGAAAATAGACAGGGAAAAAAATGAAATTCAACACCAAATAACACGACATTTTAGTGTTCAGTTCGTGCCATGTTTTACCGAAGCCCTGACTTTTTTTTTCTTTCTCCCTTTCTTTCTCTTTTTATCTTCTTTTGTGCAATATTTTAGACTTGTGTCATATTTTATCAAAGCCTTATTATATTTTTTCAAAGCTGTTGTGACTTTTAAAATGCACTGAAAATTAATTATATAACCTGGTTATTTCATACGTACTTCCCCTATTACTGAACTATTAAGCAAAATATTATTCTCACCATATTCTCGTTTCTCTATTTCATACCGTTTCCTTTTTTCTTCTAAACTGAAGTTCCCCCCAAGTTTCATACTGTCCACTTATTTCCCTCAAAAAGAATATTCCCCCACCCCTACCCCCCACCCCCTACCTCCACCCCCCCCCAAAAAAAAAAAATTATATATATATATATATATATATATATATATATACATATATATATTTATATATATATTAGATCAACGCAACTTCACTGACCACAACCTCATTTTCCTTCATTATGGTCTCTCCCTCTCTTCCCCATCATCAACACGTCGAAAAAATACACCTCCCTAACATAAACACACCCTCTCCTTTCAACCGATGCCTTGCTCTTTCATCTAAGTCAACATACCCCAGATTTGTCAGACCAACATATCTCGTACTTCCACAGTCCACTGCATTTTCTAAACTCCCTGGCACGCCGATCTGACAGGCAGGCCGGAGTGTGGTTGATACGCTATCGGAAAATCGACAAAGCGCCATGCAGAAGCCGTCGCTCGCTCAGTGCATGGCGATAGAGGACTGTAAAAAAAAAAAAAAAAAAAAAAAAAAAAAAAAAAAAAAAAAAAAAAAAAAAAGTGATTTTCTGTGTTATTGTTAGGACTAAGGAATTTGTGATTGTTATTAGTTTTTTGTGGTATTGTTCCTGCGGCTTCGTCGGAGGAATAAAGG